CCTCTTTACAACCTGACCAAAATGCACCAACCTCCTGCATTATTCATTTCTGTTGCTGTGATAAAAATACTCTAATGGATGCAACTTTAAGAGACGGGAGGTTTGCTGTGGATTACAGTTTCAGGGAAGGGGTGGCAGAAACAGATGCTAGCTGGTCACACCGCATGCACACACAGGAAGCAGAGACAGAGGACAGGAAGAGGATCCAGGCTGTAAAAACTCAAAGCTCGCCGGGCGGTGGTGGCACACGCCTTTAATCCCAGCACTCGGGAGGCAGAGCCAGGCGGATCTCTGTGAGTTCGAGGCCAGCCTGGTTCCAGGAAAGGCGCAAAGCTACACAGAGAAACCCTGTCTCGAAAAACCAAAAAAAAAAAAAAAAAACTCAAAGCTCATGCCCAATGATGCACATCCTCCAGCAAAGCTCTACCCCCTAGAGATTGCATAACTTTCCCAAACAGCGCCACTAGCTGGGGACTGAGCATCTGGACGAATACCAGGAGTGGTGGCTCATGCCTGTAACCCTAGCACTTGGGAGGCAAAAGTCCAAAGTCATCCTCTGCTCCACACCAAGTTCCAGAACAGCCTGAGCTCCAAGACACGCCATCTCTAAACAAGATAAACATGCTAAGAAAACAAAGAAAGAGGGAGTTTCATGAATTAAGAAAAGCCAGGCTGAGCAAGGACATTCTTCTGTGAGTTCAGGAAAAAGTTATTTTGTGTAAAAATCAGAACAGGTGAAATCCCACAAAACGTGCTGAGAAGAGGAGCTACTCAATGTCCCTTCAAAGATGCTTGAGACACGCCCTGGAACAGTCGGAGCTGTGGCGGCTACACTCTAAGACACAAAGGAAATCAGAAGACACGAATATCAACCAGAACGAGAGAAGGAAAAACTCGGAAATGAGATATACAAAATGGGGAGGGGCTTCAAAAATGAATCTTAAGCCAGAAGGAACTAAAGAGCAATAGACACAACCGATGATATCCTAAGACATCCTAAGAAAAGTGGAAAGGAAAAAGTAAGTAGACAAAATGAGTGTAGTGATAAAACAGGACTATAACACTGGGGAAACTGAGGCAGAGGCAGAAGGGGAGGGAGTGGGGTTATCCTGTGCTACATGGGAGAACTCATCTGAAAGGAAAGTGTGGAAGGGAGTGTAGGAAAGAGAAAAGGGAAAGAGCATTGATGAGCACTTTGGAATGCTGGATATTCAATATCTATGATAGGAATTATAGAAATTGTTCAAGTCTGTGAAAGAAGAAATCCGAAGAAAGGAGAATAGAAAAACACTTTTAACAAACACTCCAGAGATACTCTCAAAAATGATACAGAAAAAGGACGCATTGCACACTGAAGAAATGAGCTCAGAACATTCAGTGCTTTAAAGGTCAAGAAAATAATCCTTTGAGTATGCAAAAAAGGGGGCACATGGCCCATGAAGGAAAGAAAGATGCTATCAACTTCTCAACAACGATGCTTTCTGATGGGAGAAAACAGGTAACATGTTTAAGATAACCTAGGGAGCAGTGTGAGCCAACAGTTTCTATCCAGCAGCGCTGCTCCTGGGGCTCTTCCTCCTACTGGGTCGCCTTGTCCAGCCTGGATAGGCGGTCTTTCACCTTGTCTCATTGTATCTTGTTCTGTTCTGTCCTCTCTTGGAGGCCTGCTCTTTTCCGAAGAGAAAACAGAGGAGGAGTGGATCTGGGGGAGAGGCGGGCTGTGGGAGAGCTAAGAGGAGTGGAGAGGGCAAATTGTGGTGGAGATACATTGTATGAGAGAAGAATCTTCAATTTTTTTTTTTTTTTAAAAAAAAAAGGAATCCCTTAAAAAATTCTCAGCATGGTAGAACTCAAACATTATCATTCCATTTGTCCTTCCTAGAAATCGAGAAAATAAGTTTCTGGCACCAGATATTTAAAGGGACATCAGCCTGAGGACTTGGAGAACAGCAAAGATGCACCCTTGTGAGTCCAAGGCCAATATGGAGCTACTGGGAATGACAGAGCTAAGGCTGTATGCTCATGCTTGAGCTCTGCAGGTGAAGAGTGGTGCTCAAATGAAACAGAGGGAGAGCAGAGGGCATCAGCAGAATGTTGGACTCCCTGGAAGTTCCACTGGTGTCCCTCCTGGATGTATTCATCATGACGGGACTCTCTCATGGTAGCATGAAGCCAGCCCGATCCCATTATTCCCCATGTTCATGAGAACAGGCTCCTTGCAGATGAAAGAAGGGGCATCAGATAAGAGCAGAAAAGGCTTGATTTACAGTCTTAGTTGTGAACTGAAGCGAGGTGTCACGGGGAGTCTTGAGTTACTTTATTAGGAAGTAGAGTTGTCAGAACTCTACCTGTGATGTCAGATAAGGCAGGAGGGTCATGGATGCCAGGCCAGCCGGGTTTCATGACGAATGACATAGTGAAGCCCTGTGTCCCAAAAACCAACAGAAGAAGAGGGCCATGAATTTGCGGGTGAGAGAGAGACAGGCACAGAGAGAGACAGAGATGGAGACACAGAGAAAGAAACAGAAGAGAGATTGGAAGCAGTAGCAATAAGCATCTCTAACAACATGACCTCTTAGACCGAGGTCTTGCAATGCTTCTTAAGCTGCTTTAATTGTATTCGTTTATTTATCTGTGTGCACACGCCTGTGTCAAGGTGCACACGTGGCAGTCAGAGGACAACCTGCAGGAGTCCCTTCTCTCCTTGCATCATACGGTTCCCAGGATCACAGTCAGGTGATCAGGGTCTGTGGTGGGCACTTTTATCCGACATCTCCCCAGCCCCCGGCCCTGAAATGCTTTCAATTTAAAGAGTAAATAAGCATTTTGGAGGTAAGTGCTAATCTCTAGGGTAAACCTGGGACGTCTTTTTCTACCAGTTGATGAGGAAGCTCCTGAACGCAGCTGAGACCATGTTGGGGCTCTCACGAGGCGTGATGAAGAGGTTCCCCCTCGCTGAGACAGCTCAGCCTTCAAAGGGAGTAACCAATGCAGTCCATCAGAGCCCACCAAATCTAAACAGATTAGTTAACTCAAATCATTTTCAGTCTAATTAGCTACTTTGGAGGAAGATAAAGGCCTTGAGGACTAGTGGCTGTGGGAAAGACTGGAGCATGCTTTATCTTTAACTGCTCACCTTTGGGTACAAAGAGGAGGTGGTCGGAACCACCTCTGAAAACGATGCGGCCCCTCGACAGCCTCGCCTCTCGCACACTCCAAAGAATCCACATGTCTAACCGAATGAGCATGAATAGGCTGCTCACACTGCAGAGACAGACAGCAGACGGGGTGTGCTTCCTGAGAGCATGCCACCTGCACTCTGCCAGGACCATCAGAGTGAGTGTGAGGAAGCCTTGGCACGCAACTGGCCACCTGCAGCAAAAGGACAAACCCGGGAGCAGCCTGAAGGATGACACATGGAGAAAGGAGTCAGGACAGTGGCTGAGAAGGAAGGAAACGGGGGAAGAAAAGGAGGCCAGCATCCCAAACCCCACCTAGAGGGCATCAATGGAGACGGGACTAGACTGTGGCTTCCTGAAGGTGTCCCCAATGAGGGGCATTATTCTACTGACCAGATACACTCACACCAAAGCAACCAGTGCACAGGTCAGGAGAGCGGTTTCCTTAGCAAAGCCCACGCTGAGGTGCATGAAGGGGCACTAGGGGTGGCTACAAAGTTCTATTTCTTAACCTAGGGTGTTTACAAGGATCTTCAAAATAGATACATAATACTATAACAAAAACTGTACACTTAACTTATGTGACTTTATCTAATTTTGTTTCACAGATTTTTAAGACTGATGCAAAGGGAGTAATAAACATTTAAAGCAAATCTAACCTCCAATGCCTTTTTCTTGGTAAATTCGTGTTTAATAGGTTACTTTATTTAGACTGGGCACTTGCAGGTTTCTGGGACTTTTTCCAAGAATCATTACTCTTTTAGTCAACCAATATTCCCTGTGTGCCTACTATGTGCCATGAATTTCTGTTCTGTGTCATGCATGAGCTTGGACCTTCTGGCACTCGCTTCTTTTCCTAGCTCGGGTGACATGTGTTGGAAGGTCTCACTGTGTTTGGGCTTCTGCTGTTGCTGACACTCCAGTTGTGAGTGACGCTTTGTTGTATGAACTGGTTTGTGTATTGAGAAGAACATCATGAAGGACATCCAGTCAGCAGCAGTGAGCGACCCGCCTCCCAGTCCCCGCCCCATCATTACCTGGCGCTGCTCCCGTGAGCATGTGGGCAGCTGCTGCTCCACTTGCTGAGAACAGACTCTTCTTGTCTATATTTGGATATCTCGGCGTCCCAGCCTGAGCACCACACAGCACATCCAGAGAGCTGAGGGTCTGGGAGTTTACACCAGGAAGGTTCCTAGCAAAGCTCCAGTGCTCGAGGTTCATGAGCAGCGGGGAAGCAGCTTGCTCTTTTCACCAGATGAAGCAGTTTCTCCGTCAAAGGCTTGGCACATCGATTTTCAAAGTTTTTCAGTTATTATTTGATCATTGCATACATGTACATAATTTGCTCTCGCCACACCAATGTTATGTACAAAGCAAAGGGACCACAACAGTTGCAAAGCTACAGAATTTCTTTGTGGAAGCTTTTATCTCAACCCAAGAAGTGATAGGTAGGCAGGCAGACAGACAGACAGACAGTGATAAGATAACAGAACACTGGCCACATGAAAGAGACTGTCCTCAACAGATTACATGCATCTATTATGTAGTACTCACCCAACCCAAATGTAGGTAATCCCTGTTTTACAGATAGTGGGAAGGAGGAACAGAGAGGTTAAGTGCCTTGCCCTAGGTCACACAACTAATACACATAGCTAAAACTCAACCTGTGAGGTCTCCTTCAGACCCTGTGCCATCAGCCACGCCACTGCCAGAGGTTTTCCAGGATCTTGGCAAGCTATAGAATGTATCTGAACGCTGTCTGCCTTGTCCAATTAGCATTTTATACAGTTCCTTCTGGCAAAAAGCACAGCTGATCTATGATCCAACAGCATCCATCCTGTCTCCTTCATAGTTCATGGCGTGTGGGCTTCTCTCCATGCCCATTGCTGCTTCCTTCATTCAAGCCGCCCTCATTTCCCGACTCCACTGGTGCAGTCGCCTCCTTATCGGCCTTTCTGCCACTAGTTCTAACTGGAGATGAAGATGAGTGATCCAATAAAAATACTACAGGTGCCCTGCTAGCCAAGCAGTACATATACACCAGCCCAAACAATTCCTAGAAGCAAGGGCTGGAAAGAAAGCAGGGGCAGTATCATGCAATCCCATTGTCCTCGTCAATCCAGAGGAAGTCAAAGGCAGTGTTAGTATGAAGACATTCAATAGATCCTGCATGAGCACAGACGCAGGCGGCCTGGGCCTGCCCTCAGAGACCCCGTGTGGAAACAGCTGGAGATGCTTATCTGCGCCCCTCCCTAACTCCTCCAACCTCCCTGGAGCTTGGGTCTTCTGATCAGAGGAGCTAGGCTCCTGTGTTGGCCTCCTAAGCCGTGCCCCCCGGGCAGGCACTGGGCAGGAAGGAGACTCCTCACATGATTCAGCATAAGCCTCCGTTGCTCCCTTCCTGAACCACACACTGCAAAGAGCATGCCTGAAATGCAGACGAAATGGGGCCCAGCTTGGACAAGAAGGGTCCTGCTGTTCGCGATCTTCTGGGTCTCTGCATACCTGCCTGTCCGTGGTGTCTCCCTACCCCAGCGTCTCCCAAGCGCCACAGGTAGGTCGACAGTGGGTCCAGACACCCCAGTCTCACATCTAGACATGGGACAGAGGGGAATGCCACCCCGCCGCCCCGCCCGACTCCTGCTGCGTCTGCTCTGTGGCTGCTTCTTGATGAGCCAGTGCGTTCTCAAATGTTTTACAGTAGTTCACAGAGACTAGGGTGGACTGGGTTGCACTTTTATTTGTGGGAGAATTTATCAGAGCATTCTTCCCTCCTAGAAACTCTGCAGCAGGGAATGATTCTCTGAACGTCCGAGGACAGCTTGGGCTCTGACAACAGAAAATGACATTGGACAGTGGCCAGAAACCTTTACTCATTGGGGCTATGGTTTCTTCTTGGGCAGTTTCAGAAATACCATTTAGAAGCAACACACAGAAGTGCTGTAATAATTCTTTGATTCTTCCCTATCAGCTTATTTCATGAAATAATCTCTTTCAAAGACTATGTAAGGCTTTGAATCATACTCATACTTCACATTTCCACCGATTTCTCAGTATTACATCCAAATAACCCAGTTTTGTCTTTGTGGACTTGAGATGTGTAACTCCAACATCTTGCGATCTCCTTTTCCTTAGCAGGAAACAGCACGCAATGTGTTGCCTCTCCAGCATCGGAGTTTCCCGAAGGGTTCTTCACGAAGCAGGAGAGCATGGACGGAGGCATAGTAATCTACTTCCTCATCATCCTCTACATGTTCATGGCAGTGTCTATCGTCTGTGACAAGTACTTCTTGCCCTCCCTGGAAATCATCAGTGACTGTAAGTTGCTGGGAAGCTCTCCCATGACCTTCCAGAAGCGCTGTCACACAGATCGGGTTGAAACAGCTCAGTAACAGCTCTGTCCATCTCAGCCGGTGGCAGAGTGCCAATGTCTGTCCTGGGGTCCTGTGTGGTTCATCCTTCAGCATGCAGTTATTATTACACATTGCTTACTTCCAGAAGCTTCCTGTCTTTTCTAGTACCTAGGTGGTTGTTAGAGAATGGCCCCAAGAATGTGCCCCAAGAACGTGTTCCTGATACACTGGATACCTGGTACTCAATTTCCTATTTCAAAGCCTTATTTATTCGTCTGTATTCTGAGTAGGTGATAAGCAGACGTGACTGAGGACCTCCTTTCTCTCTACTCCATTATTGGTATCCTGCCATTATGAAAACTGATATTCAGGGGTTGGGGATTTAGCTCAGGGGTAGAGCGCTTGCCTAGCAAGCACAAGGCCCTGGGTTCGGTCCTCAGATCCAAAAAAAAAAGAAAAGAAAAGAAAAGAAAACTGATATTCATGAACCAAAAATTAAGTAAATCCTAAGCTCCATATAAAGTGAACTCAGCGATCAGATAATAATAAATTTAGATATTAAGCATTAAGTGTTGGTATTTTCTGGAAACAAGATCAGATAGTCGAGGCCCCTTGCACTGTAGAGTTCGCAGAACTCTGATATAGGCCTTTTTGGGTGCACTGGTTCCTAAAACAAGGGGAAGGGATGGTTTCGCCATCTACACAGAAGGGTCAGTGTCTGTAGTCTGTCTCAAAGTTGGCTAAATAGTTGAGTATCTTCATTTCACAGAAAAATCAAAGTTAAGGGCTGTGTCCTATTGCAAGACCACAGAGAACAGGGTCCTCCCCGGCTCCATCCCACACATGTGCTGCCCACTCGAGCACACACACACACACACACACACACACACACACACACACACACACACACACAAGAACTGAGTGTCAATTCTCTTTTCTCCATCCTCCCACCCTCCACCCTTGCTAGAATGCTAGGCAAGTTATGTTTCCCTTTCACATACAGCAGCAGCAGCAGCATTAAGAACTAAAACAGCACCTGTAACAGCAGAGGAACGAAGCCTCCATTTGTTCAATAACAATAAGAAGTTTCTCATCATTACTAATAATTAAGTGGGCACAAGTGTAGTTTTTTACATCAGTAGTGTATTTTATGTTGCTAATACAGTTATTTTAATGTTGGCTTATTTTAGCACATTATTTTTACTTAATGAAATGCAGGAACAAGGCTAAACCCACCTACATTTGCACCTCTTGAAGATCCCTAAACACCCCTAAACCTACCATTTTGCGGAGTACTTTCTGTCAGCCTTGAGTATTGCTATTATATATGTATCCATCCATCCATCCACCTATCTATCCAAGGGTCTTTACTTTTCCCATATATTTTATTGTATATATTTTCCCATATTGCATATCTTCAAAACCATGATTTTTTTAATGAAGACATGACAGTCCATGATCCTATGACCAATTTGAGAACCTAACACTAGATTTTACTTATTACAGTGTCCAGTGAAAATTTATCATTTTAAGCTATTAATCTCATAGGATTGCTTTAAGTAATATGCCCGTATTGTATACATTCTTTGCACACTTCTCTGATTAAAGGACAAAGCTATGCATGTTTAAGCCTTATGATAAATATTCCATGAAGGGTGTGCCAATTCCAACCTCCATAGCATACAGCAGTGTCCATTCCTGGAAATGAGTATCACTTTTAATAGCTTTGTCAATTATGTTAAACTAAACCTTCATGCTATAGAATTCATTTCTCCGATTTGTAAAGTTAGCTGTGTTTGTGGAAAATCAAAGCTTTACTTTTGTGCTTTCTTGCCTGCACTTGGTTGAGGAGTGTTTGTCTTGTTTTTCTTACTAACTTTTTCAAGACATTAAAAAGTTCACACAGAGCCGGGCAGTGGTGGCGCACGCCTTTAATCCCAGCACTCGGGAGGCAGAGGCCAGCCTGGTCTACAGAGTGAGATCCAGGACAGGCACCAAAACTACACAGAGAAACCCTGTCTCAACCATCCCCAAAAAAGAAGTTCACACAGATACTAACACTAACATAATTTTTATAATTTTTCATGGTTTGTCATTTCCTTTTATATTGTGCACTTTCATAGTGCTGAAGTTGAAATATTTTAAAATAAGGAAGTCTTTTCAGCTTTCCTTTGGTCTTATATTTAGAAAGATTTCTTGAACTGCAGCCTCCAAAAGCCGCTGTTTCTTCTTGGTTTTCTTCTACATTAGTTCTCCCACCCAAACCCATCTTCGTAGAATACATCATTTTTGCAAACTTGATTAATTCTCACATACTAAGTACATATATATTTCTGTTTCCATAATCCTAGCTGTAATGATCTTTTCATGCTTATGTCAGAACTGCACATTTAGTTAGAAAATGTGAAAAACTGAAAATTTAAAATATTGCCCACACCTCACTAAGAATTGTAAAGTTCAATGACTCAGCTGAGCTGGCGGGATAAATCTAGCAAGATTTCTGTTTATAAAAGTTGCTTGTAAAAGGTAAAATAAAAAAAAAAAAACTTCCATTCCTACAGAGGACATAACTTACTGCATTAGAAATCATACACCCTCCATATTTCCTTCATTAAGTGATTTCCTCCATCTCTCCTAACAGTTCCACCATACCACTTACACAATTCTTTGAATCATCGGCAAATACGCATTTCTCAAGAAAAATCACTGTTGTCAACATAACACAGTAGCTTTTAGGAATGTGTGACCGATGGATGCCCACATGACATGACACAGAAGCCAGTCCTCCTCAGCTGTAATATTTGACGCAGCTCTTGAGTATCAAAATGACTGCCAACCACAGGAGCTACCCACTTGTTAAAATCTTATCGTTCCTCTTTCAAGGTCTGTTTTGAAATGTCAAAGGACAACATCAGCAATAAGAAACAATCCCCACAGTTTGTTTCCATCCACAGGAACTGGCTTCCAGCGTCTGCAAGCCTTTCCTCCACGCTCCTTGACAAGCACAGATGTACACTTCTACTCATTCCATTAGCTAATGAGCGATACCATAATCCTCAGAATATCCCATGAGTATTCCACACTCTACCAGAGCAGTCCCTTACTCAGATACCTATCATGATGCAATCATGGAAACCCAAGCACATCGTGCATTTGCATATGTGTGTGTATGCATATACATACGTATATACATATAATATATGTGTGTGTGGATTTATATATACATGACTTCATCTACATAAAAACCTTATAAAATAGAGACTAATACATTGATTTTACTGAGGAGGAATGTGAAGCTAAGAGCACACAGCCAATACCAAAAGAGCCCTCCTCTCCCTGGTGTTCCGTAACCCCAAACATGATGGATGTCACCTGCTATGTGCTGTAATTTTACACATCCTCTTTTGAGATTAGTTACCATCATATGGTTGTTTCAGAAGGCCAGTTCTATTTTAGCAATCTTACAAGCAATTTTCTGCCCAAGGGCACAGAAAATTTTGACAAAACATGAATGAGACATTCACTGTAACTATGAAATATACTGCAAAAGCAAGAGTTGTTTACTGAAATAGGTCTAGACTCTTGGAACCTATTGAGGAATATAAATTAATTTTATAAACATTTCCAAGATGTCTGGGTTTTCAGCCTAGCATTTTGCCTAATATACAGATGGGATTACTGTACAGCAGTATGGAGCTCAATGGTCACGTATAATGCTGTAACTTCCTGATGGCATTTATGCTTTAGCTCAAGTGAGACTGTGATGGGAGAGCTGACAGAGCCCTGTCCCAGTACAGTGTCATCCGTCACCCCAGTGCTCCCTCCCCTAGTCATCAGTGGCTTACTGGGTCAGCAGCAGAGTCTTCAGCAAGGTGAAAGTCTAGCAACCTCAAGACTACAGTCTCTGTGTGGGTGAGGGAAGGGTTAGAAGCAGTGGGAAACAGTGCCTCTTATTGACAACATGGCAGGACCCCAGCTAGGTCAACAGGTGTTCCTGCTCATTCTGCCTATCTCTGGTATGCTGGCAATTTCTCCTAGAGAAAAGAGGGTCATAAAAATCACACAGCCCCTTCCACAGCCATCAACCCTGGAAAAGCATGCATTTGTCTCTACTGGACAGCCAGAGACAGTCCGCCAGTATCTCGGTTGAGTGAAACCACTGTAAGAAAGTGATACTGCCTCTACCCCTTCCCTCTGATTCCGCCATCATCGCCCTCCTCCTCTGCCCATTCTCACTCTCGAATTCCAATTCTGTTTCATCTCCTTTTCATTTAGGTTGAGTTATAACGGGACTTACAGGAGATTCTCTGAACACAGAGGTCTAACTTATTATACAGGGAGAATAGCTGTCCATAGTGTTTTAACTGGAGAAGATCTGACTTCTGTGGTGAGAAACAGAATGTAGACTCTGTAAAGGGAGGTAAAAAGATCAGTTCAGCTAGAGCCAGGGGAACTAGAATTTGAGGTCATAAACCCAAAGACTTTCCTCATCTCCGCCAAGTCACTAGACCCTGACTTGGAGGATGCTAAGGAATAGGTGGGGGTGCAAGAGACGGAGATGATGTGAAGGATTTGAAATGACAAGGAAGAATGGGGCCTTGGTGGTGTGTAATCATTTCAGTAAGACTGGCTCAAGAAGCTATGTCAAGGACTGTCATGCTTGGTGTGTGAAGTCAGTCACACTCACCTGTAGCTGTGTCTTACTTGCTTGGGGCTTTTCCCCCCTGTATCTTTTCCTCCTGTATGTTCACGTGCTCAGGGAAAGGTCTATGACATTGCTGAGCAAACAGGAGGGCTGGAGGGGGAGACACGGCGACCACATGCGGTGCTGGCAGAACTTCCAGAGCCAAACTATTGCAAGTGTCCAGCCTAGAGACAGACATGCCTGGGTCCAACTCCCAGCTCTGCAAGCTGCTAGCTCCTGGGCAGGTGTTTAACATGGGTCTGCCTCAGGTACGTCAGCTGTGGATCAGCTAATTATAGTTTAGTTCAAAGAACTCTGTCCTACGTACATGAGAAAATAGCTGTAAAGTGTGCAAAGGAGATAGCCATT